TCCGGAGCTATTTCCTCTCCATCTTCATCCCTTCTTCACTGTTGACCAGGGCTCATCCACGTTTTTTGCTATATATCCTTTTTATTTTCATTCCTCTTTACTTTTTCTTCCTCTCCCACACTGGTAAGGGTGACCCTGCCTGCTTTTTCATTTTATTTTATTTTTCCTTACCTTCCCCCAAACCCCTTCCATTACCCACTGTGGAATCCCGTACTGTAGGCTTCCAGCTTCTTTTTTTTCCCACCTTAACTGCATGACATGGTGTACCCATCTTGTATCTGGTTCTGCAATAAAGGTGTGATATTAAACAGCACAAGGTTTAATCCTATTGTTGAAAATGGAAACGCTCTGCCTGCTGTTTTTCTTTAGAGCTTTTCCCCTATGTGCGTGTATACTTCCCAACAGTTACAACAGATATCTAACATCACTGTTATCTCTAGGAAGCTAGAAAGCACTCTTTCCCGGAATAACCTTGTTACTGTCTGCTTACAGGCAACATCCAAGGGAGACTGACTCTCTACGATTTGAGTTGCGAGGCTCTTTTTTTTTTACTAAAGATATCCCCCAAAACAAAAGAAGGTCACGAGAATATCTGGTGCATCAGACCAATTCCAGGCATTAGAACCACCTCTCTGTCTACCTATAACTAGACACTTACCAAAGACCAACCACCTCCTTTTCGGCAATAATAAGGCCACGGACTCATAGCCCTTTACCATTGATAAAGGGGCAGCATGAGCTGTAAGTTGATCTATTTACTATGATATATGAAGTGTCTTTATTTATTTTTTTTTTATGAGTTTGTCCTGTCTGTCTACAATGTTCCGGCACACCCACCCCTTATGACTCCTAATAAACATTGGTTTTGACCAGTCTACCTTGACATAAGCTTGGCTTTTCATTTATAAACCCTTCCCTCTCTTCCTCCCTTTTATTTTCAAGTATAAATCTGCTCGTTTCCTGCTCTCTTTCTACCCCTCATTTGTTTTGTCCGTGTTACGTGGCTTGTTTATTCTCATTAATTCCAAGCACACGAATGCACAGCTTCTATTATCAATTTCATTTCCCCTTACTAGAGAATTCCCCATGCTTTACTGTGCCCTGGAGTGAGAAGACCAGCCAGTTAACTAATAGTCAGGAGGGAGAGAAAAGAGCCCATGATTCTTAGCTTACGTGCTAGTGAACTCACATCGGATTTTATAGACTCAACCTATCCCTCCCTGACCTCCAGGCATTCTCCAGATTCAACCTCCAGCTCCCTGTCCTCAGCTACCAGCTTGAACTCCTCCGCGTACTCTGCTACGTTGGACGTGGCATCTGCTGCCACTACTCCGCCGTGTATATCGAGGAACGAGTTGGATCAGAATATGACTGATTACAGACTGCATAGTGTATCTGCGCTGTATGTACCGGTGCCGCAAGGTAAACTCCCTCCTTATGTTCTGAATTGGTATATCTGACAAATATGTGTATTTTGGGAGGAGTAGCTGCACTCAACCACAACCAGGTCTTCCATCCACAATGCAATCTTCTGGAGGAGTTTTGCCCGCCTCGCCTGGTATGATGCCCAGGGGAGATGGCTATCATCTCCAATACCATCAGCCTACCAGGAGCGTGTTTCCGAACTCCAACGGACTTGCAATGAATAACCTATCCCGCTACTCCAATTATCAGACAACACGACCGATGGATATGAACTCGAATGCACAGGGTGGCACAATGTTTGGTGCTTCCGGAGGCTTTGTTTTCGACTCACCAGCATCAAGGCAATCGAGTTCAGCGAGCCCTGAGGCTCCACCGTTCCACGAAACCACCGTCTTGCACAATCTGTTGATAAACAACCACCCTGTGAGGCCGGACATCAACGCGAAGATTCACAAGGGGTTCTTCCAAGTAGACGGTAAATGGACCTGTTACCGGCGAAATTACTTTTCCCTATCCTGTTCCTTCACTTTGCGGCCCTGGATCCAAATGCAGAGCTCTACCCCATACATTCAGCTTTCAAACGGCACCACCCCGAGGGTCAAATCATTTGCCATGGCCATTTCTGCGGTGGTTCATGGACAGGAAAACGAGGTGCGGGAGCTTGTCCAGCACACGCCAAAGCGTGATAAACAGTCCGAGAGACGCCCAGGCAAGGTTTCTCTCGAACCACAGCCGCCACCATCTTTGATGCTTAACGCAGGGCCAGTAAGCAACGGCCATCATCATATGGCATTTTCTATGCCTCCTCAGTCTCCCATGCATTTTGACTGTGGCTCTGCATTTGGAAGCGGTCACTCTCAGGCGGTTCAAACCGCGCCAACATCTCATACCTTTGAGCGAATCCAATTCCAGAAGGCAACAGCTAACAATGGCAAACGCCGTGCGCAGCAACAGTTTTACCAGCTGGTGACCGAACTTTACGCCGATGTCAGTGATCCAAACTCGAAATCGTCGCCACAGTGGATCTTAGTCGCGAGGCGTCTTTCATACCCCATGGTTGTCCGAGGACGATCTCCCGGCCATTACAAGGATGGACGGCGTGAAAGTACGACGAGCATTGGACCCGAGAGCGACACCGGAGCTTCAGGTGACGGGCGAATGAGCGGTCTTACTAACGGAATGGTGCAAAGTACACGACAACCGCCTCCTTTGCTTTCTACGTACGACCAAAGCCACGGCCGACGAATGACGGCCACCGATCAGCCTCCATTAACCGCAGGATCCCTAGTTTCCTCATCTTCCTCTTCACCTGGGTTTGACTTTGGAATGATGAACGATTCCATGAATCCAATGGAAACTATGAAAGACACCAACGTTGATGCATATGGCCATCAGTCGTATAACTCGGCTTCAGCTGTTCAGCGAAAGGTATGCATTGAACCGTCTGGCATGCGCAGCCACATGCCTACTTTCAATGACTCTATCACCACAACAAAAAGCCAGGATCCACAGGATGGCGGATATGTCGAGCCTTTCGAGCCAATGGTTTCCCTGATGCGTCATGACAACGCA